ATATATATATATATATAACATCTTTTAGATTTAACATTAAATATTTAAAATAATAATTCGGTATTTATTATTAATTAACGAGCGCCTGCGATATCTTAGATTCGTCCGTACAACAAAATTAAGATAAAAGCAAAATGGAAACGGTATGTATTATGCTCAAGTTGTGAAGGAAAGTAGATGAATGTATTTACATAGCAACAAAAATGCAGAAACAATAGTGACATAGTGAGTAAGCAAAACAAATCGCACGCGTGTTATGCTAATTATAAAAAAGAAAAACTGCCATATTTTTTATTACTGCCAACGATATACAATATATTTATGTACATCGTCGGAATCTCTTTTTGATATTATTGAAATATACTGGTGTTATATCGTGAAAAAATATTTCCGCAGTACCGTGCGTGCTTTTGTTAAACGGATCAAAGGTTATTGCAATTAAAAGAAAATTTATTGCGACTGAGTTTTGACGATGCACTTCGTCTGCGAAAATTCGTGAATGACATCTTGCAAACGACATCGAAATAGTATTTTCTTCAACAAAGAGTTCTGTTAAAAATATATCTTTCAAAGCTCGATGACGAGTTGCAATCAAGAATATATGTATTCTCAATTTAATTGATCCATTCACATTCAGGGAAAAGTGTTTAATATTTGCAGTTAATTATAATTGCATAATATAAAATAATTATAGTTAGGAGTTTCCTTTTTATAGTTATTACTGCTATAATGTTAATAATCATAATTATATTTATAGTTCTAATATACATATAATTATATTTATAGTTTATAATCGTTTTCGATGTTAACTAAACTTTTTTATACGAAACTATAATAAAGTTATTATTACTAATATTATAGCAGTAATAACTATAAAAATAGAGCTCTTGACCATATTTATTATACAATTACAGTCACAAATACTGAACAGTCTTCTCTCAGTGCCATGAGCGTAGCCAGGATTTTGTTTAGGGACGGAGAAGGGGGGCAATTAGAATTGAGACTTTGTTATTTAAGTATTGGTACAATTTTAAGAAAAATACAATAAATCAGTAAATTAAATATGTGTGTCTCTATCGAAGAAGGAGAGTAATCGAGTCGTATGGATTATTGTACTTCTATTATTTTTAAATAATGATCGTAAAGAAGTAAAATATACATATTTAGTAATTTACTTCATTTTTTCACAAAATAGTAAACTGATTATTCGAATTAGAAAGTTTATATTTATAACAGTAATCATCTCGGATTTTTAAAAAATATTTGTGAAACTTCCAATTTCAATTCTTTTTTCTTTTCCAAATCAATATTTGTAAATACTCATTAATACCAAATGTAATACTCATTGTAAATACCCTTTTTTTTAGTAAATAAAATGAATTTTTAAATTATGTTATTGTACTGTTTTGTAATTATTTCTATTCTAGAAAATTAGAGGGATCTGCGACCCAAGGGAGGCTACGCCCATGCTCAGATTTAATATCTACAAAGACAAGATTGATGACATAAAGTTATAATTTACTTTAACTTTAAAAATCGATAACACGAACATAAATTTTCACCGTAATTTGCCGCTCCTCAATGTCGTTTACTACTAGTTCATCACATGTAAGTAAATCATATGCGGGAAACAATATAAATACTAATTTAACATAAAGCGAGATGTAATATTACTGGCAGAATGAACGATATACAAACTTAAGGCCTAAGCAAAAATATGGCATGTCTAACTCAAAATATGTGTTCCTACTTTTGTGGCAGGCCCTGAAATAACGTGATGAGCGAGTTCTTTACGAAATCTACGATAAATCGAACGTTTTTGTCATCGTAACAGTCACGGTTCAATTTTTTTAATGAGAGCTTCTATCATTCTTTTTTCACCAAGAGAAATGATTTTCGAGGAATTTTCCACGTCTAATTATGATAAAAAAAAGAAAGTGTGGTAGTGTCATGTGTCATCTACTTAAATGTCTCGTTACACACTTACGAAATCGTTTCTTTCTCCTAAAAGCTGCTTGTGAACAATTCAAGGAAAGTGACATATATTAAAAAAAAAAGAGCAGTATATATTAGTCAGTGTTATTTATTTTGAATCCTTAGTGTCTCGCTAGCTCTGTATCGACGGGTCGAAAGTCGACTCGGCGATCACTCGGTTTATTCGCGTAAAAAGAAAAGAGCGTATCAATTTCGTGCCAGACCAAAAAAAAAAACTTTCGCCATTAATGTCATTATAACTGTGATCTTACAAATATTAAAGGATTGAAACTGCGCTATCGATCAAATACGATATGTTCTTTATGTAAGTAAAGTAATCGCGCTAGCGTAATTGAGATAACGAAATTTTTGTCTTTGTTTACGATAGAATCGTCCACGAAGCAAAGTTCGTCCGTGCGTGGACTTTTAACAAGCGCGAACTTCTTCTAGAGACCGAATACGGTTTCCGATGAGAAAGTTACTTCCCGTCGTGACAAGAGCGTGATAATCAGAACGGAAAACGATTTTTAGCGTCGAGAGCCTGCGACACACATATTTCAATTTAGATCAGGATCGTCGCCCACTGATATTCGGATATGTTTTATAGAAAGGAGCATCACCTGAGCGTGGAAACAGTTTAGGAAATCCCGGGATGGAACTGTACATTTTCAATGACAGTCATCTTTCTCTGATCCGATAATGTCGAATATTGGATATTTCTTTCAATATTTCAAAGTAAACAATTTACGAAAGTTCTATAAATTAAGATTTCTTCACTCATTACTACACTGAAAAAAACTTCTGGATGAAAATGAACAAACCAGAAAATTTTGATCATCTCAACTAAAATTATAATAAATTCGATTAGAAAATTCTGATTTGTCTATTTTCAACTAGAATTCTAATTAATGCAACCAGACTTTTTTTCCAGTGCACATAATGAAAAAAATTTATGGTTGAAAATGGACAAATTAGAATTTTCTGATCAAATTAGTTATAATTCTATTTGAGATTTATTGAAATTGAAATTTTAGTTGAGATAATCAGAATTATTATTATTAGAGAATTCTGTATTTATTACAAATCTAGTTGAGCTAATCAGAATTCTGGTTTATATAAAAAATATTTCTGGTAAAATCTACCAGAATAATTATATCAATCAGAATTCTAGTTATCTTAACTAGAATTCTATTGTATTTTATAAGAATTTTTAATGTGTAGTTTTGCACTTCTGACGTTATAATCTAAGATAGCAGTGGTGAGTGAGAAGGCTTTAAAGTTGCTAGCAAAATTGCAAATTTATACCAAGTAAATTATCCCGTCAGATATAATGTCACAGGAGAGATAGTGATTTTAAATATTAAATGGTTCTTAATATCATCGAATTGCTAATTCTGACATCGTTAATGATATAATCAGGTTCCATCAAGGAAAAGGAGGATAGATGACTGCCGTCCACCCCAGGATAGACTTCGTTACCGCTTCCTCGTTCGCCACGGGTCCTTACCTGCCATATCATTGAAGGAGTTACTGCCGTTGCTGGCATAGCCGTTGGCGATGCCTGACGTCGAATTGCTGCTGGCCGTGCTCTTCGCGGGCGACATTGCGCTGCCCGACGATAGCGACGAGATCGACGATCCCCCGCTGAGGGGAATATTGCTGCGCATGTGATTTCTCGCGTTTGGGGTGGATGGGGCATCGGGGGGGCCAAACAGGCGTTTGTATGAATCATTACCGGGCTTGTTGCTGCGGGGCGACACAGCAGCGTTCGCGTTGGTGCCGTCGGTGCCGTTGATGTCACCGAAGAGGGCCGAGCTCAGCTGGGACTGATTATGGGCCTTGATGCGCCGTGGGCTCGTTTCTTCCGGGGCCGCGCCGAAAATATCGCTGCTCCCACCACCGGGCGGTTTTAGCACCCTGAAATCCAAACAAGACGAAATGATAAGCAAATAGAATCAAAGATAGAACAAAAGAGATTAAAGATATACTTGAGAGATTTAAAAGTAAAAAATTTCCATAAAAAAAAAAAGAGAATGTCTTCGTGCTAAGAATATTTTTATATAGATTGTGAGTTGACTTTTCAAATCGAGTGACAAGAAAGTGACTTTTATAAAACATTCGATTTTCCATAATCGAGAATAAAATCTGAAAAAAAAATTAATATTTATCTCTTTAAAAAAGAAGACTAACGGCTTTTGAGAGTAAAAAATTACAAATAAAAAAACAAATTTTTTTAGGAAAAATTTTAAACTTTCACATTAGTCGAATATTTTCGCACATTCTTTTTTGGTATATGACAGACTTATATAAAGTGAGAAGAAAAATTTCCCTTTTTTCAGCTTGCAGTTTCCTATATATAAAAATGACTAAATTCACATGAATTAAAAAATTATAAAAACTTTTTGAAAGTAGAGATTTTAAGCTTTAGAACCTTTCTTTCTTTAATTTAATTTTGTTCATTTTCTAACGAAGATTTGCATATATAATTTTGAGCTAACAAAATCGCAGATCTTTTCCTCCAACTCAATATATGCAGCAAGCGTTGACAAAATGGTCAAATCGACGACGGTAAAATCGAATTGAACACAAGTATCTGAACTTCACATCTCGATAAGCAAATACGCCGACAACCAGCGTATGGAGAACGCAGACGATGCAATTTGCGAATGCAAATCCGCGCTGATTTCCGTTTAACGAGGCGCAATGCGTGCGGCACGCGCACACTGCAGCATTGTCGCGTGCGTATGAAAGCTAAAGAGAAAGGGGTAAAAAAAGAAACTGGGGGGGAAGTAGTCCGAGTAATTAAGAATATGAAGCGCTTCCTTTTTCTCTCCAAAGCATTATACTTCGGAGATGAGAGGATGGAGCGGACTGTTCAATTAGAAGCGTAATATCAATTAGGGAATGACGTATTCTGAGCGCGTCCTCATTTTTTCAATCGCTCGTAGAATATTACCTAACTCGGAGAACAACTGCTTTTATCTCTTTTAGAATTAACAACGAAAGTCAATTGAGTTAAATGAGATGTAGCAATTAGACAATAGAAAGTATCTAAATAACGGCAACAGAATTAAGAGATTGATTCGTCCAACAATAAGTGACAAAAAACTATCTTGAGTTAAATCGCATGTATATTAATTCCGCATTTGATATTCAAGTTGAATGACATCATATATATGTATATGCGGAATTAATATACAAAATTACAATAATAACTATACGCAAACGTTTCAACTTTTAATCTAGTCATTCTCAGTGGCAACAAAAATTCAAACATAAATCTCATCGCTGTCATAATATAGAAAATACGTTGACGTACATAGGAAGTGAATATCCTTTTCAAAACTCTCCAAATACTCATAAGAATATTACAATCAAAAGTTGATCAAATTATATTAAATCATTTCTATCGTTATATAGATGCGAGAAATGCATATTCATTCTGAAAGAAAATAAAACCATTTTTTTAAAGGGAAGTTTTTATTCCTTTAAACATGTGACGTAAGCAAACCTACGAACTGATACTGTAAAATAAATAATCGTGCATTGCACTTATTTCGAATTAACAAACGACAGTAAGAAATCATTAATTCGCGATCAAGGAAATGATGTTCCGGTTTAATTAATGATGCACGGTCTTCATTGCGTGGCGTTGCATCTCGCGCGTTGCACTATCATGATGATGAATAGATGTTTCCGCGTTATTACATCTCGGTTGATTGCATATCAGAGAGAAGTTGATAGAAATGTCGGGGAATCGTGCGCAGTTAGATTTTGCGAAATCTTCTGTTAGTTTATTGCAGCATCACTAATGCAGGGATGATATATCTTCATCAAACATACAGATTATTGAACATTAATTTGCAATCTTTCATTTCATTTCTTTTAAATCGCTCAATCAAGGTTTTACAACATTAGCACCCCAAATTTTTATTTTTCGATTTTTTGTGATAATTTACCGGAACTATTTTTCGTTTTGGGCAATAATTCCAGAACTTTTTATGATGCATTCGGACAAAAAATTCATTTCTTGAAGAATGAGGTGCCAATTTCACAGAAGTAATTTACTTGATATTTCATTTCCAATAAAACGTTATCATCACAGATAGAGCCCATTGGATAAAACTTATCAGGTTAAACCTCATCACAAGTTAATCAAATATAATAATGAAAAACCGGGCTTTAGAAATACAGCCTGGTATTTTTGTTAGAAGTATCCATGAACTATCCATCATAATACGAATATCGATTCACGAGATGCTTTCTCTTGTTGCAATTTCGATGACCGATGCAGTTACTTTCACATTTTTAATTTCCTATCTTTCACGCCTCGTGCTCCATTGTATCTCAGCGCCGTGATCGTCGTAGTGACGATATTTGTCGAGTACGATGCCCACGTTCTACGCGAAAGGTAGCCACAAGACAAGGCACAAGCGCGAGTAACGAGGACAATCAATCGGACCCATAAGAAGCGGGTAAAATCCTGGAGGGGACAGGATGGGTGCGCCGGAAAATATGTTGGCATGACGTGTGTATAACGCCTCTGCACGTCTAATCCATTAACGCGAGTTCTCGCATTAATTGGGTCATCAACCTGCTTTGCGTCCAGCAACACGCCATTAGGGCGCCACGAATGTGGTTTACGGTTTTTTTTTTTCCTTCTCATTTCATTACAAGACATTACGTGTTTATAGCTGTTCAGCACGGTACAAGCAACGTGTATCGTGAGCGCAGCGATTTACTCTCCGAAAAGCTGAGAAAAACGGACGGACTTTTATAAAGTAACGTGAGTTACTTCCTGGATTACCGGGACAATCTAAAGAGCACAAGAGGGACGAAGAAAACGCGTGTCGGAAGGCTGGGTGCAAGACTGAATTGTCGACAAGTTTCATTATTTAAAATTGAGAAAATAAGAGGTATAATGACATTGCGCTTTAAGATCAAAGTCATGCAAAAACGGAATCGTTTACCCCATCTTGCTTACGCAAGTACTCTAAACGTTTTCTAATTTTTCCTTCTCATCCGTCAATATATCGCTCTCTCACTTCAAAAGTGATACAACATAAAAAAAATGTAATATTCTTCAGTTGTTATCATGAATAAGTTAAACACAAATAATGAGTTAAAAATAAACTAAAATTCAAAAATTACAACACAAAAAGTAGGGTTGAAGAAAAAGTTCTGCGGTTTTGTTAACTCAAAATTATACCATGGGTATATATTTAATTTAATTTTTTGAATTGTATTATTCAAAGTAAAGGAGATGATATGTAATATAGGGTTTCTTAACTTTCGGAATTTTGCTAAATTTAACTTCTTACTGTGTTTGCGTGTATCTGTTCACTTAAGAGATCAAACAATAATCAGGTAATAATTCTAAACTGCTCCGTATGTTTTCCCGTTCACCAAAGGTTTCGAGCGCAATCAATTAAAATGGATGATTCGCGTCTCATCCGTAGAAACGCAACTAATCCGAGACGATGATTTGCCGACGTTGCGTGAATCAACTGCATATCCCGGGGAAAACGCCATATGCATCGAGCTGGATGAGGAGAGGAGGGAACGTGGTTATGGACAATGTTCCGCTACGCGCCTCGTGCGTTGTTTTTTACGAGGTGCAATTTCTGAAAATAGGTTTACGGTATCACGCTTGTAGATCATTTTTCTCACGTAGAAAAAACAGAAAGAGAGGAAGAAAAGAAGAGAAAGAGAGAGAGAGAGAGAGAGAGAGACAGAGGAGGGGGTGGGAGGACGTTAACCGCTGTGCTGGCTTTTCTATTAGATTATCGAACAATTGAATGACGGGATCGAACGACGGGGCTACCACTCGAAGCCCCGAGGATAAATAATGTCGAGGCCTATCATCAAGGCGCGATGTAACGCTGATTATAACATTCACGGTGCTTGACCGACAACACGAGTACATCGAAACCGATATATATTTGCAGGTTACACTTCGCGAGGTATATCCGCATCGGTTAATCGACGCAGCCTAGGAAATAAGGTCGCGGTATCACCATTATCCACTTTACTCAGCGCAGCCACAATGAGCGGAATTAACGCTTCTGCGAGGCAACGACGGCTTTTGTAAAAACTTGTGGCACTGTTCACAGCAATTACGTATTCACATGGCTGATTGTCGTTTTTCACTATCTTACGAAGAGCCAACCGTCAAAGGATAGTCACCGATCCATCTGATGCTCGCAGTTATTAAATACACGTAAAAATTCAGATTTATAATCCATTAGGTCGTTCGGAAAGTTCATTTCTAATTTTCTAGTTCAAATAGTGTATCGTAATAAGTGTGTGATAATTGATAAGACACTTGTGGATTTTACGTATAATTCTAAATGGATTTATAATAATTTCGTAAGTAGATTGTATGTTCTAAATTGAATAACTTCGATACAACTCGGTTGTTCGTGAATCGTTATTTTGTCGCATCTTTTTGTATGATAGATGGAAAATTATATTTTCCGTGATGAGATGAGAAAAATACGGTAATGGCTGTAATATATTAACGTTAATGTTTAATCTTCAATAATTATTAATATGATTCGTTATCTTGGTATCGATTCCAGAAAAATTACACCCATACCAGAGGTTTTAAAAATAATTTGGATTACATAAAAAAAAAAGAGAGAAAAAGAAGGAAAAATATTTTCTTTATGCAAATATCCCGCGAGCTTTGCCGTGAAATGAGACTCCGAGGTTTAGAATACCGCTAGGAAAAAATAAAGGCGTAACGATCTTGTTTCTCAGCGTTATGGCGAACATCGATTAATCTCGTAGGAGTTCGCGGTGGATGGTACGGGGTGACCGTTTCCGAATACTGAGGCGATAGGGTCGTACCATCCGACACGGCGTCCCTTGTACTTGACATCGACCTGTCACGGCATAATTCCGCGTAAAAGAAA